TCTCATCTGGAAGATCAACTCCCACTCGATTCAAATGATTGTTGTACTCAGACAATCTGAGCACAAGCTCAACAATTGAGCTTTTCTCCCTTAGTTTGTAGGCTAAGAAAATCGTCGGAGGTCTTATACCTCTTGACGTGGGCACGAGCCTGGAATCCCAATTTCAGCCCTCGAAACATCTCATATGTTTCGCGACGTTTCAAAACGTCTTCGGCGCCTCAACTCTAAACCGTTTAACTAAACTATCACGTAGTTATCAAAATGTGTATGTCAGATGTTCGCAACATCCACAGACGACATTCGAGGCTCAGCACACTGAGCGATGCATTAAGGATATAAGCCTTCTATGAAGCAATGAGGACAATCCTCAGTTTACAGACCTAGTCCGCATAATTGCTACTATCAACTTTCAACTAAATTTTCTCTAGGAACATATCTAAACAGTAGAACTGAAGTGCGAGCTACGACATAATTTGTGAACACATTTTGACTATGTTTAGGATAATTAAGTTCATCTTATGAACTCCCACTCAGATAGACATCCCTCTAGTCATCTAAGTGATTACATGATCCGAGTCAACTAGGCCGTGTCCGATCATCACGTGAGACGGACTAGTCAACATCGGTGAACATCTTCATGTTGATCGTATCTGCCATACGACTCATGCTCGACCTTTCGGTCTCTTGTGTTCCGAGGCCATGTCTGTATATGCTAGGCTCGTCAAGTTAACCTAAGTGTTTCGCATGTGTTCCGAGGCCATGTCTGTACATGCTAGGCTCGTCAACACCCGTTGTATTCGAACGTAAGAATCTATACACCCGACCATCACGTGGTGCTTCGAAACGATGAACTTTCACAACGGTGCACAGTTAGGGGGAACACTTTCTTGAATTTTTAAAGAGGGATCATCTTATTTACTACCGTTGTTCTAAGCAAATAAGATGTATAAACATGATAAACATCACATGCAATCAAATAGTGACATGATATGGCCAATATCATATTGCTCCTTTTGATCTCCATCTTCGGGGCTCCATGATCATCATTGTCACCGGCATGACACCATGATCTCCATCATCGTGTCTTCATGAAGTTGTCTCGCCAACTATTACTTCTACTACTACAGCTAATGGTTAGCGATAAAGTAAAGTAATTACATGACGTTGTTCAATGACACGCAGGTCATATTATTAATAAAGACAACTCCTATGGCTCTTGCCGGTTGTCATACTCATCGACATGCAAGTCGTGATTCCTATTACAAGAACATGATCCATCTCATACATCACATATCATTCATCACATTCTTCTTGGCCATATCACATCACATAGCATACCCTGCAAAAACAAGTTAGACGTCCTCTAATTGTTGTTTGCATGTTTTACATGGCTGCTATGGGTTTCTAGCAAGAACGTTTCTTACCTACGCAAAACCACAACGTGATATGCCAATTGCTATTTACCCTTCATAAGGACCCTTTTCATCGAATCCGATCCGACTAAAGTGGGAGAGACAGACACCCGCCAGCCACCTTATGCAAATAGTGCATGTCAGTCGGTGGAACCGGTCTCACGTAAGCGTACGTGTAAGGTTGGTCCGGGCCGCTTCATCCCACAATGCCGCCGAATCAAGATTGGACTAGTAACGGTAAGCATATTGAACAAAATCAACGCCCACAACTACTTTGTGTTCTACTCGTGCATAGAATCTACGCAATAGACCTAGCTCATGATGCCACTGTTGGGGAACGTAGCAGAAATTCAAAATTTTCCTATGTGTCACCAAGATCTGTCTATGGAGAGACCAGCAACGAGGGGAAGGAGAGTGCATCTACATACCCTTGTAGATCGCTATGCGGAAGCGTTCAAGAGAACGGGGTTGAAGGAGTCGTACTCGTCGTGATCCAAATCACCGGAGATCCTAGTGCCGATCGGACGTCACCTCCGCGTTCAACACACGTACAGCCCGATGACGTCTCCCATGCCTTGATCCAGCAAGGAGAGAGGGAGAGGTTGAGGAAGACTCCATCCAGTAGCAGCACAACGGCGTGGTGGTGGTGGAGGAGAGTGGTACTCCAGTAGGGCTTCGCCAAGCACCGCAAGAGACGAGGAGGGGAGAGGTAGGGCTGCGCCAGGGAGAGATCAAATCGCGTCTTGGGCAGCCCCTAGGCCTCAAGTATATATAGGGGAAGGGGAGGGGGCTGCGCCCCCTTTAGGGTTCCCACCCCAAGGGGTGCGGCAGCCCCAGATCCCATTTGAGGGAGGCGGCCAAGGGGGAGGAGAGGGAGGCGCAGGGAGCATGGGCCTTAGGGCCCATCTGCCCTTAGGGTTTGACCCCTTCCTCCCCTTAGGCGCCTTGGGCCCTTGTGGGGGGGCGCACCAGCCCACCTGGGGCTGGTCCCCTCCCACACTTGGCCCATGCAGCCCTCCGGGGCTTGTGGCCCCACTTGGTGGACCCCCGGGACCCTCCCGGTGGTCCCGGTACGTTACCGATAAACCCGAAACTTTTCCGGTGACCAAAACAAGACTTCCCATATATAAATCTTTACCTTGGACCATTCCGGAACTCCTCGTGACGTCCGGGATCTCATCCGGGACTCCGAACAACATTCGGTAACCACGTATATCTATTCCTTATAACCCTAGCGTCATCGAACCTTAAGTGTGTAGACCCTACGGGTTCGGGAACCATGCAGACATGATCGAGACGTTCTCCGGCCAATAACCAACAGCGGGATCTGGATACCCATGTTGGTTCCCACATGTTCCACGATGATCTCATCGGATGAACCACGATGTCGAGGATTCGATCAATCCCGTATACAATTCCCTTTGTCTATCGGTACGATACTTGCCCGAGATTCGATCGTCGGTATCCCGATACCTTGTTCAATCTCGTTACCGGCAAGTCTCTTTACTCGTTCCGTAACACATCATCTCGTGATCAACTCCTTGGTCACATTGTGCACATTATGATGATGTCCTACCGAGTGGGCCCAGAGATACCTCTCCGTCACACGGAGTGACAAATCCCAGTCTTGATTCGTGCCAACCCAACAGACACTTTCGGAGATACCTGTAGTGTACCTTTATAGCCACCCAGTTACGTTGTGACGTTTGGCACACCCAAAGTATTCCTACGGTATCCGGGAGTTGCACAATCTCATGGTCTAAGGAAATGATACTTGACATTAGAAAATCTTTAGCATACGAACTACACGATCTTGTGCTATGCTTAGGATTGGGTCTTGTCCATCACATCATTCTCCTAATGATGTGATCCCATTATCAATGACATCCAATGTCCATGGTCAGGAAACCGTAAGCATCTATTGATCAACGAGCTAGTCAACTAGAGGCTTACTAGGGACATGGTGTTGTCTATGTATCCACACATGTATCTGAGTTTCATATCAATACAATTCTAGCATGGATAATAAACGATTATCATGAACAAGGAAATATAATAATAATCAATTTATTATTGCCTCTAGGGCATATTTCCAACACGGAGTCCGTGCCATCTGTACCACCGTAAGTCTTGGGCAGATCCCGCTCCTAAACACAAGGGAAGGATAGGGGAAAAGGGGCCCTAAAAATCATATAGATAGGGGTGTAGAAAGACCACTTTCATTCGACGTTTCGGGGCGCCCGATTCGATCGACGAATTTGGGGAGTTTGCAAATAGTATAAAATGTTCATGAATTCAGAAAATGTTCTTGATTTTAGAAAATGTTCGAAAAATTTGTAAAAGTGTTCATGAATTTGAAATGTTCACGATGTCAGGTATGTTCATTGAGTTTAAGAAAAATGTTCATGATTGTACGAAATTGAGAGTGGTAGTGTATGTCGATAATGCGGTAAAATGCGATCATGACCCCGAGAGGCATCTTTCCTTATGATCTGGTGGTTCACACGTGCGCAAACGAGCACCAGCCACAACAGCAAGGAACTATGACCAATAGAGTCAGACACAGAGCGTCATACTTCTTTATCTTGTGATGGTTGAGGAATTTCTTTCTCAGAGGGTGCGGGACGCTTGCGGAATCCATGCCATCTGTACCACCATAGGTCTTGGGCAGATCCCGCTCCTAAACACAAGGGAGAGATAGGGGAAAAGGGGCCCTAAAAATCATATAGATAGGGGGTGTAGAAATACCATTTTCATTCGACGTTCCGGGCGCCCGATTCGATCCATGAATTTGGCGAGTTTGCTAATAGTATAAAATGTTCGTGATTTCAGAAAATGTTCGTGATTTTAGAAAATGTTTGAAAAATTTGTAAAAGTGTTCATTAATTTGAAATGTTGACGAGTTTAAAAAAAATGTTCAGGATTGCATGAAATCGAGAGTGGTAGTGTATGTCGATAATGCGATTATGACCATTGAAAATTATGACTTTCTTTCTCCCGTTACTATGTAGGGGCCTTTTGCTAGTAATAAATGAATAGAAAATATATGAAAATAACAAGAAAGAAAATGTCAGGAGTGGGGTTCGAACCCACGCCCTCAACGAGGACCTGAACTTGAATCAGGCGCCTTAGACCACTCGGCCATCCTGACTAATTTATTATGAAACGCCACGATTAATAATAAATCATTTTTTACCAAGTCCTTAATAATCCCGTGCGATCCAGCCGTCCATCCACCATTCACCCCACCAACGGCCCAGATGAAACCCCAACCCTAATTCCCCCTCTATAAGTCCTCCCCCAACCCCCCATCCCAAACCCTCACTCCCTCCCCAAAACCCTAAACCCTCCCTCGGCGGCGGCGGCGAGCATCCCCACACGACCCACACCATGAGGGCACCCATGAGAGGAGGAGGAGGCCGCGGCGGCGGCAGGGGCTTCGGCGACAGCGGCGGCCGCGGTGGGCGCGGGCGCGGCTTCGGCGGGAGGAGCGATGGCGGCGGCCGCAGCGGCGGCCGGGGCTTTGGCGGCCGGAGCGCCGGCAGGGGCCGCGGCGGCGGCAGGGGTGGGGGAAGGGGAGGTCCAGGCATGAAGGGCGGGGCCAAGGTGGTCGTCGTGCCGCACAAGCACGACGGCGTCTTCATCGCCAAGGCCAAGGAGGACGCGCTCTGCACCAAGAACATGGTCGCCGGCGAGTCCGTCTACGGCGAGAAGAGGGTCTCCGTCCAGGTCCGTGCTCGCTCGCTGCTCCCCCTCGGTTGCTTCTCTTGCTTATGCGCGGTTCCACACAAATTCGTAGACTTTTTACTGCTGCTGGGCGTATGGTAAACCAGCTTCGATTCAGCTGGGCAACCAGCTTAGATTCGGCTATTGTTAGTTCTTAGAGGAGCAAATGATACGCTCGTGTCAGTAGTTTTTAGATATATTCATTGGCTTCAGATTCTGTTGATGGATTTTTATGCCCTGTTCTGCTTCTAGAGCATGTGAATGATGTTCATTGCTGTTTGAAAGATGCACTCTTTTTTGATGCCCATATGTAAATGATGCAATTACTGGCTGATAAAGATGCACTTATTGGTGCTGATGTGAAATGATGTTCATTAGTGTTCTACAGATGCTGTAGACTGATGTTTATTGCTGTTTTGTTGTTATGCAGAACGAGGATGGAACCAAGGTTGAGTACAGGGTGTGGAACCCCTTCAGGTCCAAGCTGGCTGCTGCTGTGCTCGGTGGTGTGGACAACATCTGGATTGTAAGTCCTTTTTGTGCCCCGGTTTGCATTCTGGATTGTTTGAATCCCTCGCTTTGTCAAGGATGTACTAGTTCAGACTAGCACCATTATTGTAGTAGCTGACTTCGTGGTTGTTGTTTCAGGCTCCTGGAACTCGTGTGCTGTACCTCGGAGCTGCCTCTGGAACAACCGTGTCTCATGTGTCTGACATCGTTGGACCAGTGAGATCTCGTCGCTATTTCCTTTTGTGTATTTCAGTGAATGTCGCTTAATGTGAGTTGTCTTAATGAAGTCTTCTTACTTTGCAGACTGGGTTGGTGTATGCTGTTGAGTTCTCTCACCGGAGTGGTAGGGATCTTGTCAACATGGCCAAGAAGAGGACCAATGTCATCCCCATCATCGAGGATGCTAGGCACCCGGCAAAGTACCGGATGCTGGTCGGCATGGTTGATGTTATCTTTTCAGATGTTGCACAGCCTGACCAGGTATGTGTTGTGAAGAATTTCTAGAGCTCTGTTTATTCAGTCTTGCTTACTACAAACATCAGTTATTATAGTTTACGCTTACTGGTATTGTTTGTCTGTGCAACTCCTTGAGTTGTTGGCGGCTTAGCAAAAGATGAGCTTTACTCGGATTCCCCTTCAGGACATCTAACGGATGATGCAAAATCGAGTCTCTGATGCGATCATGAGCCTCTTATTTGGTTTGCTGCATTTTCTGCATTTTGATTACAGCCATGCTAAAATCCATTACCATCACATTTGATGGTATCAATTAATCCCCATGCCAGTGGTTTATTGTAACTGATCTGTAACAAACTACTGTTGTTAGTGTGCAATGTTTACTGGACTTTTTGTTGCTATATTGGGGTTTAGCATATGATGAGCTAACTCGGATTCCCCTTCAGGACATCACAACGGATGATGCAAAATCGAGTTTCTGATGCATTTATGCCCATTGCCAGATCTTTCTTTTTTGCCTGCTGCTACATACATTCATATGTTAATGGATTTTGGCCATCACATATTTTATTTCACTGACTACTTTTTTTGTTGCTAATTTGCCTTTTATCTGCCTTGTTTTTTCTGTGTCTTCCTTGAGTTTGGATGGTGTGTTACAAGTATAGCCTTGCACCCTCATCAAGCCTTGTTATTTCTTCAAGAATCTTCTTTGATATGTCATGTTCACACATTATCAAGTCATCATTCATCAAGTTTGTTGAATACAGTAAATAAAAACTTTTTCTACCTAATGTTAAGCAATCCTGAGTTATGTCACTCCCATGTACCGATGTCTCTTGCATACATCTCTTGTTGTACCTTTTCCCTCTTTTGATATTTTGACAACCGTGATGAGCCAATTTTACAGTTACAGACCTGTAATGACTCCTGCGGAAATGATCGCATGGTTAAAGAACATCTAAGGGACTGAGTTGTCTTTGAAAACTGGATTCATACATGGGATCTTTGCTGTGAGTAGCTGTCTTGATCGTGCTATGTGTGTTTTTATCTGCTTCTCTTAACAGTATTCGTGCCCGTGAATTAACTAGCGTAGTCCCTGGGGAATAAGGATATTGGTAGCAGAAAACGATGTTCCTCTCGCTATCCAGTGTGGAATTTCTTGTGTTGCGATTGGACGTCGAGGAACGACACTTTTCTTTCTGAATTTGAATTTGCCAGTTCAGTAACCAGTGTTGTCTTATAATCTGATATCTTTGCTTATTCTTTGATTGCTCACAATATCAAACCCACCTTGAAGCTTTGATTTTGAATTTGTTCTTGCATTGATGGGATTTTGCTACTACAGAGCCTTTTCAATAAGAAAACCTCAACCTACTAAAGTGTGGGTGACTATAATATTGTGATTAAGCATTTCTGCATCTTCTCTCCCACAGGCTAGAATCTTAGCCCTTAACGCATCATACTTCCTGAAGAATGGTGGCCACTTTGTCATTTCCATCAAGGTACTAGTCAGTTTTATATTTGAGGGTGCCAAGACACATCACATCCCTGATAAATTTTTGAAGTTGCCATTTGAGCTGACATTGCCCTTTCCTTTGATCAGGCGAACTGTATCGATTCCACCCAGGCGGCAGAGGCCGTGTTCGCCAGTGAAGTGGAGAAGCTCAAGGCCGACCAGTTCAAGCCCTCAGAGCAGGTGACTCTGGAGCCCTTCGAGCGCGACCATGCTTGTGTCGTTGGTGGTTACAGGATGCCCAAGAAGCAAAAGTGAGTTACTAGGAAGAAAGGAAGTGGCTGTGTTTCTCCAATCTGTTTTGCTCTGATGTACTAGTAGCGGTAGCAATGTTACCCAATGTAAGGGGTTGAGACAATTCCTGCTGTTTTACAGCAGTTATGTTGAACTTGATTTGAGCAGGAAATGGTTATCGTTTACACTGAATTGTTAGCAAGCCTGTAGATGGTTTTGTTAACCTTTTTGAAGCTATTAGTATATCTTCACTTTATATTTCAAAACAAATTACTGAAAAGTAGAGCTCAAAATGTCAAATACACAAAGTAGAGCAACGCTCAGTTTTCACCCAATTAATTATGGAAAATTGGGTGAAAACTAACAACACGAACTACCCACAACGACACATACGCCCCTCCAAATTCACAACCAACCTTGGCATAGTGACCCAAGAAGACGAGAAGTGCTACGCAGACGACACTTGCTAGCCGCAGGGACCCATTGGCAAGCCTGGACAGCCCTAGGCCCTTGGATTAGCTATCGTGCATGTATCGTTCATCAAAAGATCGTCCGTGAAGTAGTTTCGATACAAGACATCATGCTCCTCCCAAACTGCAAAGGCAACCTAGTCCAAGAGGACGAGTCGAGAGATCGAAGATCATCCATCAAGCAAGCACATTCGTCTTGCCTATGGCACCACTCTTGCCTTTGCTGACCTTCTTTGATTTGCCCCTTATTGGCGTTCCAGTTAGGAGGCAAGCAATTGACCTACTCAAACCAGGTCTAGCAACCTTTACGCTGGCATCCTTTGCGAAGAGAGCATTAAAATTTGGAGCAGGTGCTGACACACTTGACTCGATGGTCATGCCACTCACAGACACCACTTGCTTGATGGTCACAGGCGAAGGAAGGGCATCAACATCTGAAACTCTATGCTCCACGACACGACGCTGAGTGATAGGCCGTCTGATACTTGACAAGGCTCCACGTGGGGTGGTGAGGGCACTAGGGCCACCTCTAAAGCCTGGAGAGATCCCAACTTGAGCTGCTCCATCGGCAGAGGCGAAGCAAGTTCCCCACACAATATCTATAGCTCGGGCATGATCTGCAGCACCGGAGACACAACCTCGACACAAGCCTCACCCTCAAAGCCCGTCAACACAGAGGGCATCGAACTAGACCCAACACGAGGCAAGAAGCTACCGAAGAGCTCTGCATCTGCCTCATCCACGAAGCCAACAACAGACTCAACCATGGGAGCCGGCGCAACAGGGAACCTTTGCAGAGCAGCCTCCGCACGCTCTAAAAAGCTCCCAACATGCACTAACCAGCCCTGCAGAGCCAGCGACCTCACGAAGCGGCTTAATTGCCTCCTCCACATCCTTCGGGGTGGAAGTCGAAGCAATCAATGAGGAAGGCAATGAATCCTGACAAATAGTCTTCATGTTGCATAGTGCCTCATGGATCCCTGATGTTGGTGGAGACGCAACAACTGAAGCCCAAGAATGGGCCGGCGGCCGAGCAGAACATGAAGCATGTGGCGATGGTGCCGGCTTGCAGCCATCCCGTGCATGATGTCCCGAGCGGAAGCATTGATTACACCGGATCGGACTCATGCATCCGGCTGCCCGATGGCCTTTTGCGAAGCAACGAAAATATATGTTTCTGAGCCACACAGGTGGCCGGGGGCGTTGCTGAGGCATGAAAGCCAAAGGTGGCGGAGGCTCCAAGCGCACACGGCGGGACTGGACGAGCTTCCAGCCTGCAGCCTCCTCCATGCAAGTTGAATCTGGCCTGGCGAGCAAGTCAGCATCGACAGCGGGGACAAGGGTGCTGGAGCTCAACACGACAGCAGGTGGGCGGCCGCCGTCGTGGCAGGGCAGCGCTGCCGGTAGCCCGGGAGTTGTCTCCGGCACCTCAATAGCGACGTCCTCAGGGCCCAAGCTTGGCTACGGCAGGGAGACATGTCTTGCTGGGTCCGCCATGCAGGCGAGCACAGGAGGCGCACGGGGCAGTTGGGTGCTTGGCGACGAGCAGAGGAGGCCGGAAGGTGCCGTCGTCCAGCCGGAAGTGCCACCGACGACGAGGACGGGGACGGTTGGCAACGGGGGTTGACTTGCCGGCACCATGGGCGTGCAGTGGAGCTTGCGCGAGGCGACGCGTCCTTGAACGAACGGATCCGCCTTGCGGACGGCGAGGGAGGCTGCAGCGAGCGCAATGGCCGGAGTCGGAGATGGCGCGACCGTCGCGAGCATTGGGGCGTCACGAACACGGGAGCAGCCAGCGACGCAGCTGACGCGGGGGGCGGACCTTCGAGGGGCGGAAGAGAGAGGACGTCATGCTGATTGCAGATCTGGTCTCGGCGGCAGCAGGGGAGGCCGGGGGAAGGAGGTCGGGCGGCACCGCCGGGGACGCTCACCCGACGGAGGAGTCCATGAGCAAGCGCCTCGGGCGTGCGTTTTGCTGTTTCATTTTTGTTCCGCGGCAGTTTGATGGCAATTGTTGGAAGGAGAACCAAAATTGGGGTATTGTTTGAATGGTTTCTGTTGGATTGCAAGCACACAAAATGCACAAACTAGAACAACAAAATCACAATTCTTACTTACATCATTTTATTTAAATCTGTTGGTTGTAATCATTTGCAACTGAGTACATGCATGTTTGATGATTACCTGGAAAAATGTTTGTCAACAAGAATGCCCTTTACCATGTTATTTGGACTATATGCTAATAATGTTTGTGTTATATGGACTATATATGTCATAAAAATTTTAACGTATGACACCTTCAAACAAACATCAATTGTATGTTGGCGAAGAATTAGGTGAAAACGGAAATTCAGTGAAAATCTAGAAACTTACCACGATGTTAGATGGACGGATGAGATAAGAGGTGGGATGCCCCATAGCCTTGTATGTTTTTTGTTAGTCACTAGCAGATATGCATGTGCGTTGCAACGAGGAAACAAAATCGTCACACGCCCCTAGCGATCCATACCGTGTCACCACTTCTCTTCGCCCCTAGCAATCCATGTGTGTTGCCACCTCTCTTTTTTTCACCTATTCGTGACGAACATGGTCACACTGTGCATTGCTCTTCTTCTATTCTTGTCCCTGGCGAGGCCATCCTGGACCAAGGCTCATAACCTTGAGGTCATGGGTTCGATTCCCATCTCCGAAGCCTCTCCCTCCACTAAATTGTGTAATTCCGCAAACTTGTAATGATGGCCGGTGCCAACCTTGTCTCATCTACAGCACCCATGTTTCGAGCAAAAAATGATGCGTTGATTGAGAATAAGGTTCTTCAAGGCGTCAGTTTGGGACATAGGACATGATTCTGAGTCAATTGATCTGATGAATCTGTGATATCACATCATGCATCACACGTACTATATATGTCTGTTGCTGCTTCCATCCCCAACCCACACATCCGCCTCCTGCTAGCTCCAGCACTGGGCATAGGGGCGATGACGAGATGAAAATGTGGGTGAGGAGGGCGAACGAAAATACTAGACAGACGACACTCCATGCACGATGCATGCACGATTTACAATCAGATGGATGTGAAGCACTTTATTCCCTGATTCAATGGCTGGATGTGGAGCGTCGTTCATGCATCGTCCAAAAACGTCGTGTGTATAGCAGCTCTCGAGGGCGAATGGTTTCCGCTGTGATGGTTTTTGTCATATCTCTCTCTCTCTCTCTCACTCACTCACTCTCTCTCATTGGCTACTTATGTACGCGCCACCTACGACCAAGCACTGTGCAACGAAAGAGGAATGTAGAGCGCGAGGGCGACAATGGAGAGCGCGCAGCACATTCTGGTGCCAATAGTAGTCGTTCGGTGGTCTCAGAATCTCCTTGTAGTTTTTATTATGTTTGACATACTTTGTACATCAGACAAACTTTAATAATAAATCTAAATTTTCTTCTTCTGAAAAAGGCAATTCATGCTGGATCGATCCTTCACCCTGTAGCTATCGACCTATCCTGATTGATACGCTGGATGTACATACGCAACAGTCGTGCTTTGATCGATGCCTCAGCTAGCCAAAACACACAACTTCTTTTCCCCCACTCTTATCTTTTGCTTACCAGGCGTGAGGGGGTGCGTGTGGACAGAGGCACAACGACAGAGGAGTAGAATATGTAACGCTAAGTTCAATGATTTGGTTTTTAACAAAACATCACGGATTCATTTTTTGCAGGTTATTTTTCGAGCTACGACAGTGATCCGTTCGTGGTCGCTACTCACTCCGATGGAGGCCAGTGAGCATTTGGTTACTGGGTCTATCCGTTGGGAGATGGTAGCTCGGGATATTTTCAACCGGTTTGGATGGTGGTCATGTAATAGGATAGGCAATTAGTTTACCTACCTTGTTTAGCCAGCCGACTGTGGCATCTTTTCCTGACTAGTTTGTGTATCTAGCCTTTTGCGCTCTGTGTGGGCTGCTTTTTTCTTTTTTTAGTTTGAGACTTTGGAACTTTGTTGGCACAGTTTGTTTCTTGGTTAATAAGATGGCCGTATGCATCATCCTTGATGCAAAGGCCGGGGAGCCCCCCCTTTTCAAAAAAAGAAGATAGGAGATATGGATGATCAAAGTTTTACCTAAAATACGAGAAGATCCAATAAACCCGGATGGAGGTAGTATCTATTAGTGGGAAAGAGACACTTCTGAAGGCAATGGCACATGCTATCCCGGTCTACACTGTAAGGCTATTTGTGATGCTATTGCTAGATTTGTGATGCAATGAAAAGCATGGTGAAAAATGTGCATCCCAGAAAATTAAGGTGGTATGGGGTTTAGAGATTTACACAACATTTTTTTTTGCGGGGTGAGATTTACACTGCTTTAATGAAGCAATGTTGACCAAACTAGAGGTTATTGTCTGAGCTATACTCGCTCTGTTGGGTTTGAAAACTTTCAAACAAGGAGAAATTTGGCCCCTGGAGATGGTGCAACGATTATTGTTTGGGAGGTTCAATGGATTCCGATGAGTCATGATTGCAAGATAATGGCGCCAAGGGGGAAGTGCTTGTTA